GAATAGTTAATTTGATTCCAGTTTCAAAAAGAAAACAAGGGCAACTCTAGATTTTAACATGTCATATCTCCTAGTTTTTACAAGTCAATACCCCTTAAAACTAATACACGAGGGCAAGGGGGGAAAAACAGCTCCAACTTTTCCTTCTAGAAGAAAAAATGTAAAGTTGAGTTTTAAGATCTTATCTAGCTTTAAAAATAATTGATAAAGACTGAAATATTTTCTGGTTAATTGGCATTTTGCTTTGAGTGAAGTAACCCTATCTAATGTCTCCGTACGCAACTGCCCATCAGAAGCAGCTTCCCTGAGATACAACCAGAAAGGGCAGCTAGGTTTATTGCTTTCTCTTTCCTCCTCCAGAGTATGCCACAGATATGCAGTTTCTATACATATAAGACATGTGACAACATAAGAGGCAAGTATCCGGGGGCAGAGTTGGCTCTTGGCTTCAGTCCTGATGTGGCACATGGTCCATAGCAGGGGCTCAGCAACGCTTGCGGGAAGTTCCCAGGAATATACCACTCTAGGTCCTCCTTTATATAAGGATTACTCAGTACAGAATTCCACAGTACATGTATATTAAATACTGGCTATCCTGAAAGACTTTAGATCACTAGCTACTCCCATCCAAGAATAATAAGTCAGATAAATATTATTCCTCCGTGTTGTGCAGTTAAGGCCTCTTCCCGGCAGCCTGCTCACATTTGTGGAGAGCACTTGGCGGCCCTGTAACTCAAACCTATCTTTACCTCTCGGATACACGTTCAACTGAAAGCAATGATTCCTGGGCTTTCATGAAGAAAAGAGCTAAAAGAGGGCTGAGCACAAAAATAAAAAAACCAGAAATGCTCTATCAGATACGTGAGCTGTGCTAGCCCTGTCTTTCCTTCAAGCCTGCAGGAGCCACATGTGGTCATTCAGCGCGACTCCACTGAGGACATGCCTCTCCAAGGCACTTGGCCAATGGACGCACCCTACCATTTGCAGCATTTTTGAAAGGCTGTCTTGACCCAGCTTTGAGGGCCTGGCTGGAGGTCAGTTTCCCCCTTCCTAAGCAGCCCATGAAGTCCAAACCCCCAACCACTAGCCATGTCAGAATGTCACAGCCCAGGTCACCCTACACCAGCCTTGATCACTCCCTTTACTCTCTGCCCAACTCTAGTTATTCAAACTATCCAATTCTACTAGCCTACTTTCCCTTCCTCATCTGTTCCTTCTCAGAAACCACAGTGAAGGTGCAGGCCCACGGTCCCCTCATCACCCATCTCAAGACCCACCCCTGCACCTTCCAAGTGGCCTAAGTGTTTTCCCCAAGAGCTCCAAGTAGCCAAATTGTAAAACCCTTTTCAAGTCTGTCTCTTGATCTGCACTTGGCCTCCCTGTTCCTCACCCAGTGTAATATGGTTGCAGCATGGCCCAGCACATACAAACAGTTCAAGGGTTGTTTTCGATTATACAGGCCTGGAGGCTGTCAGCAGCTGAGCACAACCTCAAAAAAAGCCTGCATGAGAAGTTCTTCAGAGTCAAAGAGGTGACTCAGCATGTGGATGAAAATAAACGATTATCTCCCTGTATTAAAAGGAAGTCACACCAAGAAACCTGTCCATGCTCCAGAAAGTACGTTTGCTGGCACACAGTTCAACCAGATACATCAAAATGTGCTGATGGTTAGCACAATGTCTTGGTTACCCGAGTCATCTAAGACTCAGAGAACATGGAACAAGCTTGCCAAAGCACCTTGTGGGAAAGCACGTTGTCTTGCAGTGACCGGATGGCATAAGCACTCACTTGCTTTTCAGGTAATGTGACGAGCTCTCTGGTCTCCCATACATGGCTACTACTGGAAGATGAGGCTCTGGTGGTGACGATGCAAACACGGGACTTCCTCAACATCTTAGGAATTGCTATCTGCAGCAAGGATCTTGCCTCACTCACATTTTCTAAGTGGACAGAGAAGCAGCAGATGGTTCTCACGGGGTCATGAGTGGTCATTCTCATACTTCAACATTCAGTAAACTGCATTTGGCACCTATGTGCACCAGAAAACTGCAGGTTGATAGACTGCTGTGAGCATCATGATCAGCATGTACTCAGGTAGGCAGCTGCACTGAAGTTCCCTGTGCCAACACCATGTTTTGTTGCTGCATATCATAGTCCACCCATTCTGCCATCTGGGACCTCATGCAGCCACTGAGCTTAGCCTGCTCCCTCATGCAGCTACTGAGCTTAGTCTGCTCCCTCATGACATTCTTTCAGCATTATAAAGTTGTGAAGAGGCTCTTCCTGCTGCTGACTAGGAAGGGTTCCAACTGTGTGGCAAAGACCAATAATAGGTCAAATGCAGCCTCTCTCTGCCTCTTCTGTTGAGTCCAAGAAGCCAAAACTCTTTGCCCACCTCCCTTCTAACTCAGGTGGTCATGTGATCCATTTCTAATCTATGGGACATTGGGGAGAGTTCTGATAAAAGGGATCGACCACAGTGATAACACCAAGTCCCTCGCCCAGAATTGGATGTAGATGTTTATACAGACGACCACTTTGTAGACAAGTACACTTACGCTCTTGATGAGGAACTGAGGAATAAAGAAACTTGTGGGTAGTTACCATGCTACTTCCATAGAGGTGCATCTGTTGGGATGACTTTTTTGGGGGGGTGGGGGTAAAGTTAAAATGATGCATACTTTAACAAAAAGATACTGTCGGTTTGAACCCACTATTCAGAGTGAGATGATTTTAGGTATATTTCCTGTCATGTGGCTTGATTTGTGACTGTCTATCTTACAAGCAATAAAAATCAACTAGGGGAAGTCGTCCTCATTTCTATGGCTTCCCCTTTTCTAGGTATTGGACCAGCCTGCATAGAAATAAGACAATGAGAATCCAGGCCTGTCCTGACTCCACACAGGAAGACAGCTGCCTTTGGATACAACACAGCAGGGCGGTTTGTGGTTAACTGGTCTACCTGTACCACTACAGTTTCTATGTAAGTGCTTAGATTATATGAAGGATAGGGATCATAAAACTCATCAAATAAGGCACCTCCCATGAAAAACTTAAAACTAATGACTTGTAAGTTCAGGAAAAGGCAGAAGATGGCATAAGGAGCCAAGTCCCCAGCCTCACAGACTCTGCCATGAACACACAACTCAAGAGTGCAGAACTAGTGTCTGAAGATATACTCTCCTTCACCCAGCATTTATCCAAGCCCAGGAAAGCAATTAACACCAACTTGAAAAATCCATGTTAAACAAGCCCTTGGGATCTCCCTTCTAAGGCAATGATTTTCCATGAATTGAGGGAAGACAAACTCTACTAGACTAGACAGCAATGCCGAACCCAGATTTCATCCAGGCTGCACTGTTCAAACTAAGTCCAAGACTTTGAAGCCAGAATGACCCCTAAGGATTGTTCTTTATTCAAATGAAACATCTTAACTCGGAGCGAAACACAATAGTGAAATGACAGTCATGCTGCCTGCCCGACTCAACCACGGTTAGATGCTGTTAAGTTACATCTCTGGTTTTTCCTCCTCACCCAAGGAAAACGTTTTGAGTTTTTTTTGTTTGTTTTTTTAACGTGAACACAAACATGCAGTTTGTGAGGTCACAGGCACAGGCTGACAGGGAACAAAACCACAACAGTCTTGAAGTGTCCCAATGCCTGGGCACAGCCACTGCTTGGCTGTACACCCCAGGGGAAGTGACTTTATTAGGCAAAATACTTCTTTGAGGGTTTCCCCCCCAACTATCAAATGGAGATAATATTGATCTATAGGAATTTTCTCCTCCTGTAGGTCCAAACTATTCACAGCAGCAAGTTCCCAGGGTGCAACTTAATCATTCCTGCCCTATCTACCCAGTTTGTTTTTCTTAAAGAATCAAACAGTAGTCCGATGAAGGTAAAAAAAAAAAAAGAAAATCACCACCCTATAAAAGACCATCAACTCTTAGCACAATAGGAATCCATGCTTTGATTGCCACCCAGGTGCTGCCTTATACATGTGATTCTGGAGGCAGCATTTTGATCCCTCTTTACAAGTGTGGGAGACCAACCTTACACATGACTGAGTCACACTCCCCGGCTGGGTGCTGAGGTGCTCAGTTTCAGGAATGTGGCAGAGTTTCCCCACCCTTCTTAGGTTGGAGGTTTGGTGTCTCCTGCATGGGTGTGTCTTGCTACAGCCCCATGGGTGGAGCTATGCTCACTTATTCCTTTGTAATATAACCCCTTGCCCTGTTTAGGATAGAATCTTCCATGGAAGTGCCTTGTGTGTGTCCCCTTCTCTTACTGTGCCCTTGGGTGTGGCCTACCCAGGTGTCAGTCAACCTGCTGACAGTGGACATCATAAAGATAGACACAGCCCCCTGAAACTTGACCCCTTGCCTCCTTTGAATGGCTTCTCAATAAAAAGGGTCAGCACATGCTCTTGCTCTTCCTGTGGACCCTGAAGGTCAGATGAGCCATCACAGCAACCCCAAAGAAAAAGGTATTTGTGTCTCTTGTGTGGTTATTTTGCCCAGCCAAGTTAGCCCAGTTCAACTGGAGTGACCCGTGAGCCTTTTATTCGTGAGAAAAACCTGGCAATAATGCAAGTTCCCACGCCTCAGACCTTTCCAGCTAGAAACAGGAGGATGTGATGAGGGGTGTGTGCCCTCACAAGAGCCCCAGGTAATAACTCAAGTTGGAGAAAAGATTTTCCTTCAAGAAATAAAAAGTCATCCTCTTTGGTTTGGGTGGCATTCTGCTAAAATGCAGACTCTACCAAGCCCACTTACTCTGAGGTCATTTGTAGGTTATTCATAACCTGGAGGAGGCTCCATGGGCAAGGGAGTAAAATAAACTCCATCACTAGTTACTAGGAGCTGCTACAAGCCTATGAAGATGCCATCTTCTGCCAAAAGGAATCTTTACCACCACACTCCGGAGTCCGAGTCTTTTAAAAAGCTCTCAGTGTAAGTTCCTGGGGAAGAACGCTGGCCTCCCGTGCAGGGGGGACTTACCCCTCAGGATGTAGTTCTGATAGTTCTGATCCGCCTCAGCTCCCACCTTGATCAAACACGTCAGACCTTCAGCCACGACAAATTCATGCACCAAATCCTTGTCATCCTGACAGGAAAGAAAAATTTTTTAAACTTCAAATATAGTCCCCCACCCATCTTTCATCCAGGCTGCACTGTTCAAACTAAGTACAAGCCTTTGAAGCCAGAATGACCCCTAAGGATTGTTCTGCTCTATTCAAATGAAGCATCTTAACTCTTGCCAAGGAATTTTACAGCCTTCACATTGTCACTTGGCGAAGATCAGTTATTGCCTTCTGGGCAATCTAATAAGGAAAGAACAAATGAATTCCTTCCCTATCCGAAATAGTGGTAGGACTGTTTTTCATTCTTCAAGAAATTACCAGGATTTATGCCACCCTCCCCCACAGGTCACAGGAATTGGCCACATGAAGGTTGGCTGGATTTTTACTATAGGAAACATTCTATTATAGCATAGACCATCAAGTTAAGGACTCAAAGCCACTTCTGTGTTATGACATAGTCACGGGACAGTAGTTACAATGAGACTTGCAAATGCTCTCTGAGAACCCATTTCTTCAGCCTTCTGTATTGTGCTGCTAGCAGGCCAAGGAAGGAAGCTGAGCTCAGGACTAGCCACACCACCCCTCAAAGAGCCAGGGTGGTCTGGGTCAGTGGAAGGCAGGACATGGAAAGAACATAGGTGACCTAATTCAGTGGTTCCCAAAGGACACAGACCCACAGAGAAGGCAGCAAGACTCACCTAGGAACTTGTTAGAAATGCAAATGTCTTGGCCCCACCCAAACCCAGCCTGTTGTGTTTAAGGAGCCCTCTGGGTGACTTGGAGGCTCCGATGGGTCTCATCCCCGACTCCTTCACATTAGGATCATCTAGGGAACTTTAAAGGGATTAGCAAGTAGGACCTTATGCAGATGGATTTGATCCGAATTTCCAGGGTAGGACCCAGGCTCTACTATTAGATTGCCTGGGAAATCCTACAGGGCCGCCCATTCGAGAATCACTATTCTAATACTACATTCTCTTTACAGATCAGATAGTTTAAGACTCGAGAGTGGCAAAAAGTGCTTGACCAAGACCATTTAACCACGTTTGGCCAATCCCCAAACCCTGACAGTTCTTGGTACCAACCAAGTTCAGTGGAGCCCTATGAGACTGGTTTTTCCATCACTGCTTTCTCCATTGAAACTGGGAGCTCCTCAGTTGAACAGTGTGCCTCGTCTCAAATACATCTAGGATAAGGCTGGGACATCCATTATTTGATTTAACAGGGCAAAAATGAGAAACCTCAGTGATGTAAAGAGTAGAACACTTAATGGAATAATGAAACGGTTGTTCTAGGAATAGTCAGCAACCACAGTTTATCTCTAACAGAAAAAATAATTTAGATGAACTGGTGTAATTCTCCTGTCCCCACGTGAAAGTAGCCCTTTTCTTTGATTTCTATGCTTTTTTCCAATAGGATGGATGGGGGTCTTGAGCTAAGTGTGGGCAGATGCAGCAAAGGGACCCTGGGAACCATGACAGCACTCTAGGGTCGGAGCTGGCTCTAGGGGGGAGGGTGGGTGAGCAATGCTTGCGCCCTGAAAGTAATGAAACACAGCTGTGTTAACTCAGACTTTGAGATAATCATGACTGTGGAAGAAAGAAAATGGGACAATGTCATGAGTTTTTGGAAAATTACTTTACACTCATATGTAGAAGGGAAATAAAAAATAATTCTCTCTCCATCCATATCCTTTTCCACCAGCATATGTGAAAAGTGGACATTTAGATGAGCTCATGTCTAGTCAGGTTTTTTCCAAGCATGTTACAAATGTTTATTACTTTAACTAAAACTAGATTCACACATGACTTCACGGTGAAAAAGTGAGAACAAGCTCAAGAAATGGCTCAAGCTAATCACTAATAGTAATATAGCAGAGGCCGGACTGGCAAAGGCTCTCGGAAAAAACACTGGACAGGCGAGACAGTGTTTATAGAAGTAATTCAGAACTTTAAAATGTATGCACACATGTAGATAAGGCACTTAGGAGAGACAAGTTGATGGATAATACATGTACAGAAAATCTTCCAAATTGGCAGTGTGCTAGGTCTTGAACACATATCCAAACAGGCATAAATATGACTTTTTAAACACTGGTGTCAGACTAAAATGGGATGTATGTTAGCACTAACCAGTGATTAATGGCTGCAGTTCGGAATCTTCTATAACTGCATTAACCTGTGGTCATTTGAGGAATACTCAGTTCAGATGATCAATGGTCGTGATTGTTTAAGCTCAAAAATTCTAGTTTCAAAAAGAATCTCCACACATAGCAAACAGGAGACGGACCTAAGGGTAGAGAAGGTGGCAATCTCAGCCCCAGACAGCTTGCTGCCTGTGTAATCCAGTTAATCCCCAGTGACCTGCTTTGTGGCCAAGAGCTGTTTGTGCACACCTGTGTGGCCTTCAAGTCCACTCCCAACTCCTGGTAACAAGCACCTTCTTCCTGAACTCTACACTGCCAACCAGGCCACACAGAAATATGTTTAATAGTGGAAACAGCAGCTTTGAGAATTCGAGCAACATATACTCTGTAGTAACTAACCTGGTTAGGCTTATTAACTCTTTATTTTAAATAACTTATACACAACCGTAGGTGCCAATTTATGCCAACCCTCTTTCACCCATCACCCCCAGTCTCTCCCGTCAGTCTAAATCAAGTTCAGATGTCACATATCAGAAAACTGTAGATTAAATGATGTATATCCAAACTCTAGGAACTCTTAATATATAGTCACATTAACAATACTTTAATCCAGTCATTAACCAAATTTCCAGCTCTTTTATAAATACTGTTTGACAGTTTGTCCTAGAATCCAAATAAGATCCACACATAATTAGTTGATATAACTGCAACAGCTTTGACATTCATGGTTATTTTTTTTCCCCTTGAAGTTTAATCACTGGAGAGATCCATCTAGATTTTATTGATTACAACATTATGGTACAAATTTAGCATACATCTGTCCTGGATCATTTATAAGTTGGTTACTACACAGAGGCATGATCACATCCAGGGCTGGATCTTGGCTTGACCACAGGGCATTTTTTCCTCTTAGGAGGTACATAATATCTGATTGTATCCTATTTCTATCATGACAGCAATCCTGATGCTTGATACATAGATCCATTGATTCATTAGTGGCTTAATTATATCTGTAGTACTGTAGTCCTTACTAGCTGGGATACTGCTACAAATGAGACTTCCTCCTGACTACTGATTATCCTCAAGTTCACATATGAAAAGGAAAGAAAATTGAGATTCTAAATCTTCACCTATTTTCAAAATAGTGAGCTACTTCATTAACATTTTCTCATAAGTACATCTTTTGCATACTCATTTTGACAATTTGTTGTTATTTTTAGCGTACTTATAACTTCATTAATTCAAACCTATTTGATGTGTTTAGGCCCACTGCCTATTGCCCCATCTCTAGTCAGTCAGCAGGAGACCCTGTAACTTGCTTCCCAGTGCCTCTAGAAATAATCCTAGTATCATCTGATAGCTTCCGCTCTCTGTACAGTAAGAGGTTCCAAGTTTATAACATTTCCTACACACACCAAGAATGAGCCACTTCTCCAAGCCGCTCTCATTCCTTCCTTGCAGTTTTAGCCTGCAATCTCATTGCTTTTTATGATTATGCTTTCAGTTCTTTTAAACAGATGCTTCTAGATAATCTATACTATGGGTTCATTCTGATACTTCCCATTCAGTTCAGGAAAGTTTTAACTGAAGAATCATAATTTTTTTTTAAAGAACTCTAAAGCTTCACACACCCTCACAATGATACCTACACCATTACCCTCAATTATTATAATCAGTCCATGGGGCATGGGGTGTCTTCACTAAAGGTACAGAAACTACGTGTTTAAATCCCTTTGGTAGCTAGCTTCTGTGATTCTACCAACAACTCAATACTCAGGGGGAAAGTTGAAGCTGAGCAATGGAGACAGAGGCAGGCTGGAAAGATGGAGTAAAGAGTAGTGTGTGGTCCTATGGAGACACAGTAAGTATGGCCCAACTGCAGACTCTAGAGGGGAGAGAGGGAGGGATAAGATGGAACCCAAGATGGAGACTTCCACACATGCAAGAGACTATGTTCACAACACTGTAGTAACGATAACACTAGAAACTAACCATCTGCCAAAAGATCAACCACCCACCCACCTTGTGCTCTGTTCATATAATGCAATACTTGACCAGTGCTGCATCATCCATCATGCCTATACCCATAAGTAAACTGGGGCAGGCAGCAGGCAGCACAGAATGGACATCAAGTGAACACAAGGTTACCACATTGAATATTTACCAAGAAAAAGGAAACATACATGTGCACGATAAATACCATTCAACAGAGAGGGGATCTTGGCAGGAGTTGGGGGAGGCTGGTATTAGGGAACAGATTTTCAATTATATTCATATAGATTTTTTTTCGATGAAGTAAATATGGCAAAATTATGATTCAATAATTTTTATCTTTACTTTTTATATTTGAAATGTTTGATTTTATAAAATATTCTTCACGGATATTCTGACCTGATTTGTAAGTGTGATCTAAAGAGCCCTTTCTTTTGGTAATGAACAGTAACTTTGATCTAATCCCAAAGCAAAGCAAAACAGGACCTGAAGTACCTTTTTCTTTTTACCTGAAATATCTGCTTCAGGGAGAAAAGGGCCCTTCTTAAATCTCGTCCAGAAGAGTTGTACAGTTTTTCTGAAATAAAGAAGAATGTAAATTAATTCATGTGACTCAACAGATGGCATAAATACAAAGGGGTTATGAAGGTCAACAATTTCTACTCAAAAAGGAACAGGGAACGGACACATCCATTCCATATATACACATACATATAGCCCTCACTCCAGAAAGAATGATTCACACACTCTGCTAATAATGGCAGAGAGGAGACAGGAGAGTTGTGTAACAAGATACACCCAGATTTGCACTTTTGGCCCTCAGCTTCCTTCTCTAAATCACTATTTAACACTTTGTCATAGGCCCTTTTCCAGTTTTACAGCTATTTCCACTTGATGGCCACATACACCCAGAAAATCTCTGTAGCCAAAACAATGCATCCTTCTACCTCACTCCTTCCTGGCCTTAGAGCCCCTGTATCCTATACTTTCCTCATATATGCTTAGAAAGCCTCAGAGGCCCTCCCCTTTCCTGAGTCTGCTGGTGGCCTTGAACGCACCTATGGGCCCCACTTCCCCATGCAGTACAGAAGACCCAAATGCTGTGAGATGGTTGTATAGACTAACTCGCTCCCTGTAGTCTTGCAATGATCTTCTAGAAGCTAACCTTACCTCCTCCCCAGGCACGGGCACTGACTCATGTTTAAGGATGGTCCCGGCCCACAGCAAGGTAGAAGGACGAGTCTGGCCTTCAAATTCCCTAGCTCAAGACTTGGGCTGACTTGTATAACTCAGAGAGACAAGTATGCCACAATGACTAGGTGGCCAGTGGGTAATGCTACAAGGTGCTAAGGATACATAGGAGAGTTCAGTACTGGTATCTGCAGGACATTTGGGAGCATGGAGTCTGCTTAACATTGCAGGAGCCACGCTTGGTCCTGCTAGTGCCATTTCATTTTTACAAAGATGTCATCTGCGAAAGTACTCCAAACCTGTACCTTTCTTATGCAAGTCATTTTAACAAATGTCAGCTTTTGTTAAAAGCATGTTATCCCTTCATCACATGAAAGCAATACTGGAATCATCTTCAATATGGTTGAAATAAAAATAACTAAATATTCACTGAAACGAGTATTACTCTAGAGCACTGATCTTTGAAAAGACAAGACAATCCCTCTCTACAAAGAGCCAACACCATGGTAGGAAACGAAATCGCGGTGCTTAATTCTAACTCAAAAAATTGCTATCTATTTTTTTAAACATGGCACCAAAAAAAGCCTAGATGCCAACTTGTTCTGCTTATTCAACATACATTTCAGGAGACGCCAGTTTACCTAGAATCTTAGCAAGAACTAGGGACCAAGGATGTTCATAAATGACATGTAATTTGTCCTTTACAGAAGGTACAATTCCTGCTGGCAGGGGAGGATCCAGCAAGCCTTTCCCCTATGTCAGACTTCCTGCCCACAAAAGTGACTGCTGAGCACCCTTTGATGTGGCTCAGAGAAACCTACAGGCCTAAAGGAGAAGCACTCCTTCTCATAGCTCAGGTCCTGGCTTTCTTGCCGCCTGACATCACCATGGGAAGCATGGGCTGGAGCTTTCACTGAGTGACATTGAGCTCAAGACCCCAGGCATTCTATGGTTACCACGGCTGGTACAGGCCTCCCCCCCTTCAAGTAAGTCTAGCGGGTGAAGGGCTCACGGACACTGTTGGGCCCATTTCCTATTGAACTCCAATCACTCCTTTAGAAGCAGCCCGTTTATGTGGATTCAGGCACGAGTCCCAGTCCTGGGTTACATGGGTGTAAGTCCTCCTCGACACAGGAGGATCACTACCTTGGCACTCCCTAGGTTTGCAATACAGTGCCATCCTCTATGGGCTGTGCTCTCATGTGTCTGTAAGTCCGTGTGTGCAGATTCATATGCATGTGTGGCTTCTGCCTGTGCTTAGTGGAGCTGAGCTTGCAAGGTTCTCTCCCCCAACTATACCTGGTTCACTGTGTAGATTGTTCTAACAGCCTGAATGCCAAGGGAAGGAATTTCAAGTGTCTACTGCCCAAAGAAAAATCAGGCGGTGTAAAACAAGACCATACACAATAGACCAAGAGGGGTCTGGAGCCCACCCTAAGCCATCAAGAGGGCAGCAACGCAATACAGCTTCACCTCCAGCTTCTCTGACCCTACAGAGGTTCTCCTTTCTCCTCCTCAGCCATAAATACACGCCAACAAAGCCGGTGCAGCCTCCACCAGGGGAGAATGTGGGACAGCTATGGTTGCTATCACCGACTCAGCAGGAGAGCTCAAAGTCAGAGCATAAGGGCAAAAAGGTACCTGAGCAAGCAAGATAGAGCTGGGTCCCTTCCTGGTCACTGTGAAGAAAGTATAATATTAAAACTCAAAGCAGAAATGCAGGGCTGGGGTCAGGCTGGAGTGTAAAGGGTGGCTTTTCTCCTGAAATTTCGAGAGTGCTTGGAGGAGTGGCCAGCAACTCATGAGACTCATGCCTGCAGAGTGCCAAGGAAGATGTGGTATGGATTCCAGCAGCTGAGGAGATCCAGAGGGAGCTAATTTTACATCCCTATTGTTAGTTAAGCACAGTCCAGGCTTGGCCCCTAAGTGAAGAAAGGAAAATATATATTCTTTTACCCCTTTCAAACTAACCCTGCCCAGGTTGCAATCATTTGCAGAACATTAGCTTTTATGTAAAGGGCAATTAGTGGCCTACATTTGGTAGCGAGCTCTAGTCTGAACCTTGCCGAAGTCTTTGAAACTGTGCCCTCATCCTTCCTCTCCATGTTTCTTGCCTTTTAAAGTGAGCACTGTTCCTTTAATAGATGCAGTTAGTATATTATACTCTAAGCTAGTTTATAAAAAGTAGAGGGCAAAAAATTAAAGGCCAATGGAGACCATGCCTGCTTTGTCATTGGGAAACTCCCTGTGTGGCCCACAAACATCAGTGCTGAAAAGCACAGCCAAAGGTGTCCTGTGCCCCCTGCTCAGCCAAAAGCACAATGAAGAACATTGATTAAAAAAAAAAAAAAAACGGGGGGGGGGAATTAGAACCACTTTAAATCAATAGAGAATGTGGAGGTTAAGAACCAAGATCACCTTTGAGAAGGTATGTGGTAGAGTGAAAGATGCATCTAGAATATCAAGCCACCAGGCTTGTCAAATCGATAATTACGAAACACTCTTCTATCATCAAGTATCAGACACATTAGCCAAGCACTCCAAGGGAAAACTTGGGCCAAGACCTAGGATTCTCTCCTCTGCTCAGGGCAGAAGATGACTTTTCTTTTTCCTTGTGCAGATACAAAATCCACCACACTGAAAGGAGATACATTCAGAGGCAAGATGCCCGAGCCTGCATTTGAAACTATCAGCTATGGAGTGTACAACTGTTGATTTTTCAGGAGCAGCCATAAGAAATGAGCTCCTTGTCTACCAGGAATTGAACTGTGATGTACTCTTCAGACACCGGGCAGAGAGATGGGGGGGGGGGGGGAAATCAACTTCATGAGACTAAAGACTGTCTGAAGAAAAACAATGGCCAGGGTTGGGTGATGTTCCAAGACAGGAAGCACTCAGCCTAAATTCTTATTGGCATTGAGTGAGTCAAGGATTCCACTCTGGATATTCTTCTCATGAATTCAGACATTTCAGGTGATTCATGGATCGCCAGGAAGTACTCTCCAATTCAACCTGCAACTGCTGCCTCATTATTACATGGCAATAATTTTTTTTTCAATTTTGAGACAGGGTCTCAAAACAGGCTACCCTCAAACTTACAATCCTCCTGCCTCAGTCTCCCAAGTAGCTGAGATTGCAAGGATGCACCACCATGCACAGCTACAGGCTGATATTTTAAAGAAAAAGGCATCGTGAAAACTGGTTTAATTAGAATGGCTAGGTCTAACTTTGGAAGTCATCTTTTTCCAATGATTTTAAGTTTCTTGGAACAACACACTGATTTAATGAGTATTCGAAAATATATTCAGACATTAAAAAACAGTTTCAGAAGGCACAGGTACATGGAAACTTCCAGTGGGCTTTTGGAAGATTTTATGGACTACCAGGGAAGAATTCTTGATCTGACCAAACATCTCCATTTTACAGATGAAGAAACTAAGAGGTGACATAGTTGCTTTCGGGGCCCAGACCTGAGATTGGAGGTTCACGGAAATGGGAAAGACTGAAAATGGCCAATAAAAATGGAATTGACCATATGTTCTGTTTGATCAAAAAATAACGTAAACACCCAAGCTAATGAAACCTGCTTAAGTCTTAACCACAGCACTTATGATGCCATGTAAATTCAGAGAACAGACAAAACCAAAGGCCTTTGAGAAGTCTGGCTCCTCCTACCCACCTGTGGGAATGGTAGAGGACACATGTACAGCATCCTCCCATCAGCTGAGTGGCAGCATAGCAGCCTGATGAAGAGGAGGCTAAATAGGAGTGATGGCAGGATCATGTGACCCAATAAGACAAAAGACTGCTTAAGAAATCGTTTTTTAGTTGAATGGAGCTGGAGAATATCATGCTAAGCGAAATAAGCCAAACCCCGAAATTCAAAAGCCAAATATTTTCTGGTAAGTGGATACTGATCCATAATGGGGGTTGGGGAGGGAGCTGGTAGGATAAACGAACTTTGGATTATGCAGAGGGGAGTGAGGGGAAAGGGTGAGGGGATGGAAGGGATGGTGGAATGAAAAGTTATGCTCCCTTTGTATACAATGTTTCAAAATGCATTCTATTGTCACATAATTAGAACAGATTAAACATTTTTAAAAGCCTTATTTAAATCCAATTTCCCTTGGATTTCTGTCATTCCTTAAATAATTTGGAATAATAGTCATTAAGATGTTTTATTGTTTTGATGATCAACAGATACCATGCTATGCACTAGGAACACAAATACACATGAAGAGAGTCTCAGTCAAATAAGACTATATGGCCTAGTGGAGGAGACAACACAAGTGTCAGGACAATGTCATGTGAGAAAGTGGCAGCAACACTTAGGGCCCTGGAGTGGCAAAACTGAGTGTGGGACAGAGAAATGGAGATTCAGATGAC